AAAAAAACTAGACAAATTAAGGGAGAGTATCGTGAAAATATCAGCTGCATTCATTATTGTGTAGCCAATGAGCTATTTAATGTCACAAGATTCCACTTTTTCAGTGTTTGAAAATCATAGTGGACCATGTGCCACAAATGAGTAGGCAATTGGCCAAACACTAGAAAAATCAATGCAACAAAAATTATTTTTTGCAAATGATTGAAAAGAGCTTAACAACAAACTGAAAAAATTGCGCAGAATCAATTTAGAAGACTTTCAATATCTCATTAAACTCACTCGCACTTCAGTTCCATACAGACTGGTGTTACCGGCGTTGTTGGTGTTTCCTCATCATCGTTAAGATTTTGCTAAAAGTCACATAAAATATTCATTGAAACTTGATGGCCTAGAAACAACCGATAATAAACTTACCCGGATGAAAGCTGCGCCTTCTGGGTGAAGCAACTGATGTTCTTCCATGACTTCCAAGCTGATTGAAGAGAAGGAGCATAGTGAACAGTTGAATCCTTTTGATACTCCGAGATGTCGTCTTAAACCCCAACATTTCCAACCAGCAATTAGAAGCCAACGTAAAAAAGACAGAATAAATTTACCTGGCATGTCGCCACAACTCTGCACATATTCTCGTTACAAAAGGACATTGTGCACAACTATAGAAAGCAGATAATCCGCGTCCTTTTCTCACTCCAATTAGCGTTTTTTGCACGGTGACATTCACACTTTTACCGGATTTCTGAATTACAAAAATAGCAAATTTCTCTAAAGCCGAAACTACAAACTCACAGCTCGAATGAGATTATCTTCGGTATGCAGTCCAATATGTGACCGTAAGCTAACAGCTCTCTTTGTACTGTAGGTACATTGTGAGCATTTGAAACGTGCATTCATCGTATGCATTTCCATATGTGAACGCATATCGCAGGAGAACTTCGAAGTGTATGGACATAGAGGGCACCGACGTCTTTTGACACCATCGGACTGCAAAGAAAAGTCATTTATTAGAAGAAAAAAACCCATAGAAACTAGCTAAGGGACCAATAATTCCAAATGACACCAGTTCTGCAGAGTCTCCAAAAATAGAAAGGCTGAATACAACCAATTCC